TGGGGGGGGGGTCCCTAACAAAAAGCTGAGTCCTGCTGAGAGGAGACACAGCCAGCCTTCCAAGCCACTGCTCTCTACTTGCTACATCTCAATTGTCAAACATGTCCAGGGGGCTGTATCAATAGAAACTGAAAGTATTACCAAAGATGTGATATGACCATGGGGAACATCATCAGGGTCTTCTTCCCTGGAGAAAAAAGAAACTGTGTGTGTCAGTTCAGCTCCAATCTTGCACACCCCACAAATGTAACGAACTAAGCATCAAGACCAACACTACCACAACACTATTTTATCCACAATGCCAGTCTCTTTATCACACAAACCAAACACCTGTAATATAGTATCCTTCCTTCCTTCCCTTTTCAATTTTCAAAACAATAACAACACACACCTCAGAATACAGGAAAAGAACCTGGCAGAAATATGCAGAACTCCTGCTCTCTTAGAAAATAAATGGCAGAAGCAGAAATATAGCTAAAGTGGAATGCAGAACCTCACACTGGAGCTTTCGTTTTTCCCAGATTTCTTGCCAGAGTTTTCACAAGAGCACTTCCACCATTTCAGCCATTTCCTCAGCAAATCAACTGTGTGTCACCTTCAACTCCTTTGGTCTACTTACTGCACAAAGAATATAGTTTTGTGTCCTGCTATCAGGCAATTAAGTGTTTTCTTGCAGCTTCTTCCAGGCCTGATACAAAACGCTTTTTAGGGTGGTGGCACTGTAAGTCAACGTACAAGTATTTCCATAATATTTATGGCTATTTGACAAATTTGAAAATTAAGAATGCCAAGCCTTCACCAGTCAGCCTAGCTCAGACTGCCTTATTACAGTGGCCCAGCTTGGTTGGGCATCTACCAAGGCCCACAAGCCACCACTGATGACTGGTGTCCAGACAGCCCCCACCAGACTGCCCCCTCGGTGCAGCCATGTGCACATGCTCCAAAGGTACACATGGCTACAGGAAGCTTAGAATAAGGGAGGCAGAGGACAGAAGCAAAGCCTGAAGTCATTGCCATGGCCATGCTGTCTCATCCCTGTACACCAACTAGTTAGCCAAGGGAGGCACGAGGTTGCAGTGCGAACATGAGAAGCCACCTGGCCTGCTTGCAGCTCACCAAACCAGTTGTTCCAGGCAGGCACCAGACAGAAGAAGCTCTGCAGCAGCTACCTGGCAGTGCCAAGACCAGGGAGCCGGGAGCCTGGACTAGCCTGCCTACTCCTGGCACACTCAGAAGCCCACTGGGAAGGAAGGAAGGAGCCAGCTGAATGGAATTAGGGAGCATGAGGGGGTTTCCCTTGGGATGGCCACCCCACCACCTCTGCCCCATGCGAGTTAAAGGTTCTTCCCCAAGAGTCAATACAGTCACGGAGCCACACCAGAAAACGTAAGAAGGCAAGAGACGGCTTATTTCTTATTGAGCAATTGCAAAGGGTACTTTTCTAGCTAAGTTCTTGACTCATCATTATATTCACTCCAGTCAGGCTTGCTTTGCAGAAATAATAGTTGATAATATCAATCTGCACAATATGTATCTGCATAAGTTCAAAGTAACTGAGCCAGCTATTAAATCATTTAAAATTAATGTCTGAATCAGAACTAAACAAGATGAGAGAGAAGAAATACTACTAAAAGTTTAGGTTTAGTTCAGCATTAGGTTTAGGTCTCAGCTATACCAGTTTCAAAATAAAATTATACCACACACTTCAGGGAAGCTTTAGCAAAAGTAGCTACTCCTGTCCAAACATCAAGATCAGAAATATACAAAAAGCTGAGCTACCTGCTTGCTGGTCCTATCAAATATCCTACATCAGTCTTAAATTTTAAAAAATACTGTAAAATCCATTCAAATCTGTTTTAGTTAACATGATATTTTACAATACTGTGTAGCCGGACACTATTTCCTAATATAAATTTAAAATAACTTTTATTTTTCCCTAGTAGCTGCAATAGCAGCCACACATCCAATGGCTGCATGCATTCATGCATTCAAAGCATTGATATCTATCCAATCTGACCTCAGCGCAGCTGCTTGCCACAGGACCCCAGTCAGAGAGACAAAAGATGTACAGTGATATATAACACTCTACAAGAGATGCTGAGTCTTCTGCTGCTGTGCTACTGCACAAGTCATCTGGCTCATGGCAGCAGAAGACTCTGCTCTTTTGCTGAAGAGCTACAATGCAAGCCAGGTGACTCACACCACAATGTGGCAGCAACAAAAAAATGCTGCTGTGCACCAGCCAGCCAGATGGTGGAGAGGCGTCTTCACCTGGGGGATCTTCAAGGTATCCACCAGAGTGGAATTTAGAGGGCTTCACTGCCCACCCTTATGCCACTGAATTCCTCTTCCCCTAACTGCTGGGACTAGTCAGCAAAGGGGAAGAAGTGAGAGTCTGCACCAACAGCATTTAGGCATATACCCCTTAAAATATGTGTTTTGCTAGCCTATGCTGGAGCCTCCTCTGAAGCTGCAGTGCTAGAGATACAGTGCAAATATGCAGACAGAGGCATACCAAAGCCGTGCAAATAAATGATTCTACTCACATTTTAGCCAGCACGTAGCCCACAATCTTACCGTTCTCATCCTCAGCAATGTAGGAGAGCTGGGGGAAAGAAAGGAGGCAGTTAGAGTGACATAGTGGGCTCTCTTGGGGAAGAAGGAGCACAGCCACCCACAGGCATGGCAGAAGGCAGCAGTGTCCTGAGAGGAAACGTGGCTCTTGTCCAAGCAGAGCAGCCTGTTCCACAGGCAAAGCCAAAGGAAAGACAGATTATCCCATCCATCTAGCCACCACAAAGCTTGAGCCCATCCCTAAATACTACTTAGCATTTATAGATCAGTGTTTTGGGTAATCAAAGCACTTCAAATATATTATTTAGTTGGTTGGGGAGGGCATAGAATTTTATCTTATTCTTTACAACAACTCTGTCAGACAAGTCAGCATTTTTATAATTCCCATATGGGAGCGAGTGTGGCTGTTGAGACAGAAAGTTGCCGCTTTAACAGGCTGAAATGTTGAGAATATGTATGTCAGTCCCCAAAGTGGCAGGCACTGGGCTTAGTCATTTCATCACTACCTCCATGTTGTCCTTCTCCTTGCCACCTGTAACAGGCATATGCTGGAGGAGAAAAGTGGCAGGTGGCAGGATGGAAATACAGTTGACTTGCAATTTACGCACATTTAATTTGCATGAATTCAGCTTAAAAAAATTTAAAGGGAGTGGGTGTTGAATATTGACAATCCCACCAACTATTGCACTCACCTTGAGATAGTGTTTGAAGTGTGTGTTTGGTCTATGCACAATTTCATCTTTACGTGCTATCCCCAGAAAGTAACCGCCACCTAAGCTAAGAGTTCACTTTATGTGGGAAGAGAACAGCCAAGAACAACCACTGCAGCCCCAGGGACACCGTCTGGGGAGCAACTGGGCAGGCCACCCGGTGTGTTTATGGCGGGCTTGAAGTACGGACCTCCCTACCTGCAATGCCATGCCAGAGTAACAAGTGTTGATTAGCTCACTCAGCCACAGGCCCAGGTCCATTACAAAACCACCAAGGGCAACCAAAAGATCCTGAGGAGTCAACAAAATCTCAAGTGTTGCTAATTAAAGCTGGGAGAGGCTAGTAAAACTTGCCCTGTCACTTATGAGGCACCGTGGCCGTCTCCCAGAAGCTAGAGGCCTAGCTCCCAGACGAAGGCTGTGGGAGGGCAGCAGGAGAGCCAGGAGATCTTGGGTCAGAAGGAGTTTTTCAGAGGGGTCACCTTAGCACCACAGTTGCCAATACAAAGGGGCGGGAGAGAGAGGGTGGCAGGTGGTGGTAAAGGGAGTAGCAGATTTGCAGTCAAGGTCTTTTTGAAGGATTGAGGTTGCCCATTATTCTACAAAACCTTCAAGTCACTAGTATGTAGACAGTTACCTGGGGCCAGGAGAGTCCATGATAGAAGTAATATTTCATTTGATAGTTCTCTGGCAAGCAAAGGAGGTTGCAGTGTTGCATGTTCATCAGGTCCTCGGGCTGGTGGAGAAAAAAGGAAGAAAAACTAAAACAGAGCAGAGAGAGATGCACCCACTTCACAGCTCCTCCCCTCCCCAGTGGGACTGACATTTGCTGTGTGTAATAGCAAAATAGAACCTCCTTATTCAGAGACACTGTATCTTGAAATAAGAGATACGAATCTGGAAAACTAACCAAGTAGGACATGACAGCTATTCTCTCCCGTACCTCATGCTCAGCAGCACCTGGCTGTTCACCTACTGGAAACAAGTCTCCCTGATTTAATAAGGGCTGTCTTGCCAAATCAACCTGACCCGCAAACCTGACTACCAGCAGCCATTTCCAGCAGCAGCCTAACAGTCTGGTGCAGCCTATACTTCCCAATGCCAAAGGCTGGGCTAAGCTGATCTCTTCTTGTTTCACAGAGCAAAGGGCCGTCAGGGGGTGGCGGCTGCCCCATCTCGGCCCCCAGGTGCCCAGCAGGGCGCTGCTCCTGCCCCTGGAGGCTCCACCCGATCCCCGCGGCAAGGGCAGGTCACGCAAAGCCCGTTGCTGGCGAGGGACCCTCCCCGGGGATCCTTGAGCGTCATTCCTGCGCGGAACGGGGCTGGACTCGAGGACCTCGGGGGAGCCCTTCCCACTCATTCCAGGAAAGGCCTTGAGCCGCAGCCTCGGGCCTGAAGCCCAAGCGCCGCCCCCGCCCTCCCCCCCCCCCCCGCCGGGCGACCCCGGGGCTCGAACCCTCGCATTCCGGATGTTCATGGCGGCGGCGGCGGCGGCGACGCTCTTCCTTCAGCCCCCGACGCGGCCGGAGCCCCCGATCCCTCTAGAGCCGGAGCACAGGCGGGTCCCCGAGCGGCGCCGGAAAGCACGCGTCCATCTCCGCCTCGCAGCCAATGCCTGGGAAGAGAAGCGGGGGAAGCCGCTTAGCCAATCGCCGCGCACAGCTTTGCACCGCGGTCCCGCCCAAGCCCTCCTCGGCACCCAATCAGACTGCGCCTAGAAAGTAGTCACGCCGACCAATTACGATGCCGCTTCCTCCATCTTGCTTTGGTCATGCGCGGAATCCTGCTTGTTTCGGTTCTTCCGCCCGCGACCAGTTAAGGGAGACGCGACGCTAATCCCCGCCCCTCGAGGGCTCACGATCTGGCGGGGCGGCGCCTTCCCGCTCGGAAGAAGCCTAATTGATGGCCCGGTAAGTCAATCGTTTATCACGATGGAGTTGAGTGACACGTTGAGGGCCCAATAAGCAACTAAGAGAAGGGCGGAACTACTATTGAAGTTTAGACAAACTCAGGCTTCAGGGGATTCGCTCTGAACTTTATAACCCGGTGAAAAAAAATATTAAAAATATGGTAGTGTTTCGTAGAGGGAGGAGATATAGTACTGTAGTGGAATAATAATAATAATAATAATAATAATAATAATAATAATAATAATAATATATATATTATTATACCCGCCCATCTGGCTGGGTTTACCCCAGCCACTCTGGCAGCTTCCACAAACACTAAAGTAGCAACAACCTATTAAACATTAAACAAAGATTCCAATGACTGTTATTTATCAGCCCGCACATGTGCAAACTAGAGGTTAATTCCCTGGTGCTCGGGGGAACGCGCGTGGCTCAGTCCGGCTATGTTACGTCCTTCGTCACTGCTATTAGCCAGTGAATTTCTCTGGTTCCAGTGACGCCTTCCCTGTCTTTGGCAAGAACCCTCCCTCAGCCTCCCCTGCAAATAGGGCGGCGCCGCCTTGGCACGGGACTCCTCAAAGGCGCCTGCCAGACCTGCAATAAAACTGTTGTTGTTGCTTAGTCGTTTAGTAGTGTCCGACTCTTCGTGACCCCCTGGACCAGAGCACGCCAGGCACTCCTGTCTTCCACTGCCTCCCGCAGTTTGGTCAAACTCATGTTAGTAGCTTCGAGAACACTGTCCAACCATCTTGTCCTCTGTCGTCCCCTTCTCCCTGTGCCCTCCATCTTTCCCAACATCAGGGTCTTTTCCAGGAAGTCTTCTCTTCTCATGAGGTGGCCAAAGTATTGGAGCCTCAACTTCAGGATCTGTCCTTCCAGTGAGCACTCAGGGCTGATTTCCTTCAGAATTGAGAGGTTTGATCTTCTTGCAGTCCATGGGACTCTCAAGAGTCTCCTCCAGCACCATCATTCAAAAGCATCAATTCCTCGGCAATCAGCCTTCTTTATGGTCCAGCTCTCACTGAGGGGGACTCAAGGCAGCTTGCAGATAAAATAGGAACAGCTAAAAACAGCAGCATCAGCAGCCTGCTCTTAAAGAGGTGCAGAAAACACTTTTGCATCGGAAGGCCCATGGTTGCTTGGAGGTGGTGGAGCTCGGGGGAGCCTGCCAAATAGCTGGGATACGTTTTGTGCTGGTCCTTCAGCCTGTGCCTTTTTAAGAACAGTTCAGGCTCCAGTAACTAGGATACTATGCTGATACTTCTAGCACCGCGTATTACATTCTGGTTGTGAAAACCTCGTACCTGGCCAGACCTCCGGAACGGATCCCATCTGCAACCAGAGGTACCACTGTACTTGGAAAGCATTGTTTGCCAAATAGGAGCAAACTCAGCACCAGCTAGACTTTATATATGCAGATACTTCTGCCTACCAGGTGTCTGTTGCGAGCTGTTCTAGCCTGTTTTTATGCTTTGGCATCACTGTGAGGATGGGGTGTTTTTTCTCTCCTGTCCAGTTGGCAGCCCTTCTCAGCCTTTAATTCATATGAGATTTGGCAAAGAGGATGCAGATGCAGCTAGATCTGAGGCAGTTCAAAGTAGGAGATCTTGTTATGCATATATTTTGTATGTGTGGGGGTGTTTATTACAGAAAAAAATGGAGTTGGCTTTTACAGCCCAACTCTACATCAAAGGCTTCAGCGTCTCCTAAGACAGTTGATTGTGAGGGGGAAAATGAGTGGAGGCAGGAACCCGTAGAAGGAAAGCAAGGAAGAGCTTTATTTTTTCTATCAGAAAAGAGTCCCCACCCGCCCCCGCTTTGCAAGCAGGTGAGGATCCAGAAAAAAGTGTTTAAGTACTTTTAAAGACATTAGAAATTGCACAACCCCATAGCCAAAGACCACCCAAAAGCATCACACAAGTGTCACTGAAATGGGTGGTCTGCAACAGAAATATGAGAGTGTAGCTTGTGTCCTGTGTGTCTAGATACCTGATAATTTTTGCTGATTATCTCTCCTGGCTAGTCTGGGCCATTCCTTTGAAATGGTAAATACCTATTGATACACAGAAGATGCTCTTTTGCCAGATCTGCTTTGCCCCTAACAAATATTTACCAGACCTGTTTTTAGAGAGGGTAGCCCTTATTCCAAGAAGTTTATCTATTCACAGGATATGAAGGATTTGCAAGTGAAATAACTATTGGGAAAGGTTTTCCAAGATGAGCCCAAGCGGCTTTGGGATTGCTCTGTGTACTAAAATTAAGTGTAATTTTCTCAGGGAATATCTCCTAAATTTTGAAGGGTGAAGGATTGGTATTCTCTGGAGTGTGTCTGCTATGTGTGTGCATCCTAAAAAAAATATAGCAATATCATACTACAGTATATTATTATTGTCTTGTACGTGTATTGTGGTTGGAAACTAGTATAGTGTAAAACAAATTAAAATAAATTTTGAGTATGTGATCAGGACTTTTTTTTAATGGCTTCCAATATAACTGTTCCAAGAAAACCAACACATTCTGAGGACCTTTCAGTACAGTGGTACCTCAGGTTACATACGCTTCAGGTTACATACGCTTCAGGTTACATACGCTTCAGGTTACAGACTCCGCTAACCCAGAAATAGTACTTCAGGTTAAGAACTTTGCTTCAGGATGAGAACAGAAATCGTGCTCCGGAGGCGCGGCAGCAGCAGGAGGCCCCATTACCTAAAGTGGTGCTTCAGGTTAAGAACAGTTTCAGGTTAAGTTCCTGAAGAAACCAGAGGCCTTTCTCCTGGGCATGGTCGGCCAATTGGTGCCAAAGAAGGATAGAACTTTCTTTATGTATGCTACAACAGCAGCAAGAATACTCATTGCAAAGCACTGGAAGACACAAGAACTACCCACCCGGGAAGAATGGCAGATGAAGCTGATGGACTACATGGAGTTGGCGGAAATGACTGGCAGAATCCGAGACCAGGGAGAAGAGTCGGTGGAAGAAGATTGGAAAAAAGTTAAAGTATATTTACAGAAATATTGTAAAATTAATGAATGTTAGAAGGATGCTGGAAAGAAGTTACCGTATTTTTCGCTCGATAACACGCACCTGACCATAACACGCACATAGTTTTTAGAGGAGGAAAACAAGAAAAAAAAATCTGAATGAAACAGTGGATGTATCATTTTTGTGCTTCATGCTGCGGCCACAGACATGTGATTTGACGGTGAGTTTGGGGTAGCCCAATGCAAAAATCCTGAGAATCCAGCAAATGATTGTTTATCTGGGAATCAAAGTGGATGGTCTCCATCAGGGATCGTTGCAGTGCTCATCTGACTTGCTCTGCATGCACGGAAAACATATGAAAACTGTCATTCTTCCAAAATCCAAGCACAGCTGAAGCAAATTTCCTCTTCAGTGCAGTTCAAGAGGTATGTGTACAGAAATTTTGCAAAACAGTTCATCTCTTGGATGTCCCTGTCCTTATTTTTTCAGGAGGGGGTGGTTGGACCCTGTAGCTTCATTTCATTGCTTGTGCAATAATGTTATTTGGGGAATCAACCAGTGGATGGTAGAACAATTGTGAATTTGCTTTTTGAAAAACTGGTTTTTATTAGAGAGAGTTCTCAAATAGCATAGTGGCCAAGAGTTTCTAAGCTATGCGTTAGGGCTCCCCATTCAGATATTGCTTCTTCCACGTGCTTACTTAAGAAAACAATTCTCTCCCCACATCAGCAATACCAGAATAATAACACAGGTCTATGTATTGTATTTTATGAAAATTGCAAGAAAATGCATGTGACCTATTTGAGAAACACTCTATAGATGTACAGTTGTACCTCCACTTACGTATCCCTCCGGTTACGTAAACTTCGGGATACGTGAGCGGCAAACCCGGAAGTATATTTCCGGGTTTTTGCCGCATGTACAGTAGCAGTAGACCACTTCTGTGCATGCACAGAAGCGCTCTAGCACTGCGCATGTGTGCACAGAAGTGGTCTTTCTGGTTGTGAAAACCTCGTACCTGGCCAGACCTCCGGAACGGATCCCATCTGCAACCAGAGGTACCACTGTACTTGGAAAGCATTGTTTTGCCAAATAGGAGCAAACTCAGCACCAGCTGGACTTTATATATGCAGAATCAGCCTCGAATCCTATGCACACCAAGACTTCCTTCCCAAAAAAATGCATGGGACCTGGCTGGAACTGGCCTGAGTACAGTGCAGTCTGTTACCAATAACCAGTGCTTTTTTTCTTTAAAAAAAATGTTTAGGGGTGCTCTCATTTTCCTACTCATATTGAAATACTGCCCCTCAATGAGGCCAAAGTTAGATTCACAAAATGTTTAGGGGTATGCGTATCCCTGCTTCCCCCCAGAAAAAAGCACCGCCCATAACAAAACTTGATACATTGACCATCACATTTCTCTTAATCCTGACAGTGGCTTTTAGACTCATACAGTAAATGAGATAATATATAGATTTAGACAAAATAACTTTTAAAATGTACACACAGTCAAATTGATCATGGCGGAGTGAACAACTACATATATGGTTAAAAGTGCCTGCATTAAAAAAATATGTTGTCTGCATATTTATTCTTTCCAAAAAAAGAGGAAGTGGACTGGAAGACTCAAGCAGGGCCAGGATGATAAATCTGCATGTCCTACTCCTGGGACTAAGATCGGAAGTTGCTCAATAGGACTGCTGACTGCATCATATGCTGCAGGCCCCAATGAGCCTTGTCAATTCCCAAAGTGGTGCAAACAAGCTTCACTTTGCTTTTAAGCTTCAGCCCTCTGATCTGAGATGGGCTACAGTCTAGCTCGTCTCAGGCTACTTAGCAGCCTGAGCTTTTCTTTGGGAAAGCTGCCAGTTCTTCCTGCCCCACAGAACACCCCAAAGCACAGGATTACAGCAAGCCTTGCAGGATCACAGCCTAGATGTATGGTGTTAAGTTGTGGGCGAACATATCAGATGACACAGCGATTCTTCCAAAGCAGCTCTTTATTTGTAAGCTGGAACAGAACTAACTGAGGAGCTCAGTCAGCCTGTTTATATAGAGCTCCAGAACAATGTAACTGTTGCCATTTTCTAAAACTATCCAATCACTGAATGTCACTTTTTGATCCTTCATTTGCATAACTATCTACAGTACCCCCCTGCTGGCCCAGGGTGAGAACTTCAGTACATAACATATGGAGCAGAACAAACTCACTACAGGGAAAGCCTCAGTCACTGCAGACTGTTCCTCACCATCATGCCAGGGTGGGCTGGGGAGAAAAGTGTCAGCTGAGAGGAATTTACTGGCAGAGCAGCCATGTGGTCCCTTCTTTCCAGGCATCCATTGTGCAACCAGGTCCAGAAGTCGTACCTGCCAGTTGCCGCCCATTGAATGTTTCTCTCTCTCTCTCTCTCTCTCTCTCTCTCTCTCTCTCTCTCTCCCTGCCTCCCCCTTTGCTCCCCACCTGACACCCAGCCCTACACAGGCCACCCGGGAGGTCACCATTGTTTGTCTGCCAGCGATGCTCCCTGATCCCTTGGGGAGTTGCCAACCTACTTGTTCAAGAAAGGGTCCTTAACCCTCTGTAAGCTTTGTGACAAGGAGTTATGCAGCAGGTAATGGCCTCCCTAGTGTGGTGATGAAGCTACAAGGGACAGGACAACAGGGACTAGCCACATGAGCCTAACTGGGCTGAGCAGGGGCCACCTCATGAACACCATCTTTTACTCTCAAAACTCACTCCATTCTGAATGCTCTTTAAGAAGAGAGACATGTATAACTGTGCCTCATGTTGCCAGGGTTGGGTAGGAGTCTTTCTCCACATCCTGTGCTCCACCCTGTTTCCAGCTGGCCTCAGCATCAGACTCTACAGTGGTGGGCAAGGATCTAGCTCAGGCCAGTCTAACTTTTCATACCAAGTGGCCCACAACAGTACTTTTGACACAGAACCTGTGGGCTGTCATGTGGGGGGAAGCGAGGCCAAAACTTGACACCCCGCCCAGCCTTCCCAAAGCTGGCTAAGCGAGGAGCCGGGCTTTGGGGAGGAGTTGCAAGCCTCTGGCGGTGCCCTAGAGCCCTCCCAACTCCTTCCTAAAGCTGGCAAGGTGCTAACTAGGCTTCGGGAAGGATGCAGGAGGACTCAAGGACCCTCTCAAAGCTCTCACACCTCCTTCCCAAAGCCCAGCACCTTGCTTAGCAGGCTTTGGGAAGGCAGCGCGAGGGCTGAGAGAGGTGTCAAATGCTGTGGAGGGCTGCCAAAAGCCCTCAACAGCCACATGCAGTCCTTGGGCCATGCTTTGGACTTCCCTGATCGAGCTGCTCCTAGGACTCCAGGATAGTCACTCTCCGCCCAGTAAGGTACTTAGGCATACCAGGGATCACTGCTGCTGCTGTGTTAGCAGGGTGGAGAATGGGCCACCTTCGCTGGGTTGGTCTATCAGGCAAAATAGTAAGGGGGTGCCATTGCATCATGGCCCCAAAGGGATGGTTGGTACACACCAGAGCCTATTGGCTGCTGCTGCTGCACTCCTCAGAGACACTCTCGCAGGTGGACCTGCAGGCCCTCCCAGACATAAAGATAAAGGACCCCTGGACAGTTAAGTCCAACCAAAGGCGACTATGGGGTGCGGCCCTCATCTTGCTTTAGGCCGAGGGAACCCGGCGCTTGTTCACAGATAGCTTTCTGTGTCATGTGACCAGCACATGGAAACACTGTTTACCTTCCCGCTGCAGCAGTACCTATTCATCTACTTGCACTGGTATGCTTTCGAAATGCCAGGTTGGCAGAAGCTGGGACAGAGTCCTCCCAGACATACCTAAGTGGGAGGACATGATCCTGGATTTTAAACCTGAGAAGCTCCTGCATGTGAAACCTGAGCTCTTCCACCTGGCCAAGGCCCCTTCTGCACTGGGAGAATACAGAATGTGGCATGCTCCCCCCCCCCACTGCACCCATCCAAGTAGCCCCTGCGACTCCCTGAAGAGGATTGCTCTGTCTCTTTAGAACTTCTTCTGAGTCTAGGCTGTAGGTTGGTCTTCACATGACAGAATGCTCCATTAAAAACAAAATCACTTCACACAGAAAACAGGCATGTCAGGGAGAAGGCTAGGCTAGAACCTGTCACTCCAACATGCTTAGGTTATATGTCGAGAGGCAATTTTTGTGAGCCCCCCCCCCCCAGTCAGATATGGTATATAGCCCAGTCACTTCAGTGAAACTAGGCCTCTGGCAGACCCTCAAGCTCCATCCCCCAGTAGTGTCTCTCCCCATGAATAGGAAAAAAGCACAACAGGGTAGACCCAACACACTCCCCTTTTCCATTCAGTGTGTATCTTTTTTATTGTTTCTCAATTGCACAGATTCATTTGGACCCTCAAAGAAGAAAAGGCAAGTGGTGAACATCAGGCAAGGAAATGGCAAAGGCTCCCTCACCAGGGAGAGAACGAAAGCATTTTTTAAAAAAAAAACAACCCCAAAGTTTTCCCACCATGAAAACAGTTAAGAGCCAAAATATTGCTCACATTCACAGTATACATTTAAAGCACTCTTATACTACTTTAACAGTCATGGAGAATCCCAGGAACTATGGTTTGTCAACAGTGCTAGGAATTATAGGTTTGTTGGGTCATCACACAGAAACTACAGTTCCCAGGATTGTTTGGGGAAAACCTGACTGTTAAAGTGGTATAAGAGTGCTTCATAATGTTTTAAGGTATGTCTGGATGTGACCAGCGTTAACAGCCTATCTCCTCCTGTAAGAGAGCAGAGCCTGGGGCCTGTAGCAAGTTTGGTTTCCACGATGGAGTTCTGCAAAATCAAGGTTGGCCAGGAGTGTAAAATAGCCACTGGAACTGGAGTGAGAAGTGGCTGAAAGGGGGTTCTTTAGTTTCTACCGTGGTTGAAGAAGAATGTGGCTGGAATTAAGATTTATCCCAGGCAGAAAGTAGAGAACACCCATCCCTTCACTTAATACAGTGGTATTTTAGGTACATACGCTCAGGTTACATACGCTTCAGGTTACAGGACTCGGCTAACCCTGAAATTAAGTGCCTTCAGGTAAGAACTTTTGCTTCAGGATAAGACAGAAATCGTCCGTCCAGCCGGCGCAGGGCAGCAGGAGGCCCCATTAGCTAAAGTGGTGCTTCAGGTTAAGAACAGTTTCAGGTTAAGAACAGACCTCCGGAACGAATTAAGTACTTAACCCGAGGTACCACTGTAGAAAAGTTAGTGGAGTGTTTCATCCCTGGCTGGTCAATTGAGTTTCCCTTACGAGCGATTCCAGAATTTCTTCACAGATACAGAGCGCACGGGGGACATGGAAACAGCCTGCAAAGATAGACATGGGGAGGAATGTAAGGGGGCAGGATAAAAATGCTTTAAATAAATGAGACAAGGCAGGGATCCTGTCTCCCAAACACCCTCTTTTACTGCATTTCCCTAACCACAGCTTGGTTGGGGGCATTAAAGTATTGCAAGTCATGTGTCTTAAGCAAGTGAGCCAGCAAGGTTTAGTGGCAGAAGCAATGCTAACAGGAAGTAGATTTGGAACCATCAGGGGCAGCTCTTGGCTCATTTGAACAGCTGTGGAGAAACTTCATAAAAATGAGGGAAATGGTAAAAAGAAGGTTGAAAAGGACGTCAAGCAGTCATTTGTCTAATCCAGGCTTCCTCAACCTTGGCCCTCCAGATGTTTTGAGACTACAATTCCCAGCATCCCTGACCACTGGTCCTGCTAGCTAGGGATCGTGGGAGTTGTAGGCCAAAAAGACCTGGAGGGCCAAGGCTGAGGAAGCCTGGTCTCCTTTCTCCAGAATGCCTGCAGGTTACTAAAAAATCACAACAATGCAAGTTTAGCTAGCAGAATGCATATTACAGATCAGAAAAAATACCACCAAGGCTAAGAGGATTCCAGTGTGGCAAATCTTAAGATGCAAGCCTAACCCTATTGACCTAGGAGTAAGCACCACTGAACTCAATATAAGCTATTTCTGTGTAGACATGGTTAGGATTGCATAATTTGTGCATGAACAACACAAATAGTTTTTTGGGGGAAGCATACTTGCTTTGCTTCAAGAGGCTCCCCCATCCCATTGAGGTGTTTCCATTATTTTGTGGTATGTTATCCGTTTCCCTTTGCCTGTCATCTCTTTTCTGTGAAAAACTTCTTGTGGTGAAACCCATACAGGTGTCTTTTGGTGCAACCGAGGTTTGCATTTATTCCAAATTCTTAATATGGCACTTCGAATACAGTGATTTTTAAAATCTACATTAACTTTAACTTTATTATACCACAGATATCCATGCCATCCAAACCTTAGGTCATGTCCTATTTCTAAAGTCCTCTCCCTTCTCCAGGTCAACCCCTCCTTCATCCACATTAGACAACAGGCTGCAAAATACATTTCTCTGACTCCTGCCTTGTCTGGGGGGGAGCATTCCAATCTGCCATAAGGCACCAGTTTTCATATGCATAATCCCTCAGTCTATCCATGAATCCTTTATAAAAAGCTGATTTGTTATCATTTGGAGCAAGAAAGAAGATTCCACCTAAACATTAGGAAGAACTTCCTGACAGTAAGAGCTGTTCGACAGTGGAATTTGCTGCCAAGGAGTGTGGTGGAGTCTCCGTCTTTGGAGGTCTTTAAGCAGAGGCTTGACAACCATATGTCAGGAGTGCTCTGATGGTGTTTCCTGCTTGGCAGGGGGTTGGACTCGATGGCCCTTGTGGTCTCTTCCAACTCTATGATTCTATGATTCTATGATATATACCTAGATCCAAAATCATTTTTTCCACAAATGTTAATTTCCACCCCAATAAATCTACCTTGTTCGTCCAAAAGAATCAATTTTGGACAAAACTGGGAATGTATATATACAATATAACTCCATTTCTTTTCTTTGTTCCTGCAGAAATACATTCTTCCCCTAATTTCTTTTGAATCAATATTTTGTGTCTTTTTTCCTAATAAGTGTTTCTTGTGAACATCTTAAATCTAATTTCACTATATTCAAGTGATAAAATACATTTTTCCTCTTTTGTGAAGCATTTGCCCCATTTATATTCCATGTTAAAATTTTGTAATCCATAGTCAGTCAAGTTAATTTGTCACCTCTATACTTGATGCTCCCATTGCTGCATCTTAAGTCTCCTCCACTTGCACATCTTTAATATCAGATTTAAATCTTTCCACAAATTCTCTTGCTCTCTGTACTGTATTAAGTCAGAATCCTTCTGTTGCATCCTATCTAAATTGGATTCTTTTCTGTTTAAGTTTATCTGTTAAGAAGCTGTATTCTTTTCTTTTATGTAGTATCTTAGGTGGAATTTCTTTCACCACAGTCAAATCTGTAGTGTCTCTAGGTGTTTTTTATCCTAACAAATTGGACCACGACATCTCTTGGAAGTTTATTTTTCCGTAGCGTGTTGATTCTATAAATTTTATCCAATTCTGCTTCCATATTTCTAGCCTCCTTTTCCAGAAATTCCACCAGTAGCTCCTTAACTTTATTCCTGATTACTCCAATATATGACTATAGCAACAAGACTGCTATATGCACAAAGATGAAAAGATAGTCCTGCCCACTATAGAAGAATGGCTGATGAAATTATTGGATCTGGCTGAGATGGCAAAGTTAACATGTTTTAATTAGAGAAACATCATTACATTTGTTAAGGACTGGAAATTTCTTAAGGACTTTTTGCATGAAAGAGAAAATGAACTTGTCAGAATATGAAGACTGAAAAAATACTGGTATATAGAAGATAGGATGGTTGGATTTTAAGGAATAAATATTATATGTAGCTGCAGGACAGAGAGACAGAAGTCCTCTTACTCTTTTCTATAGTTCTGTAGTTTTTCCTTTCTTCCCCTTTTCTCTCCCTTTTTCGTTTTTCAGGTCTCTCCTTTCTGACTTTGTTCTTTTTTAGACTAAGTAGCTGTCTTTAGTATATTATAAAAAGTACTTTGTAATGGGTATGTATTTTTGTAGTATCTATGAATAAATATCAATAAATAAGTTAATTAAAAAAGAGGCATTCCTTCCTTCCTGTGTGAGGGGTTGAGCCATGGGGCCTGCTATCTTCAGCTTTCATAAATAATCTAGATGTGTTATAAACAAATAGCACTTAAATCAAGAGCACGTTGGTTGCCTATGAAAACAGAGTAATAGTTGTAAAACCTGAAAAAGCTGCAGTCCTAATGGGGATATTGCAATTCTCCCTCAATGTCCTTGACAAGTTTTGCATGCTGATAGTGCTATAGAAGCATTAACACTTCAAACAGGGCAGTAGTAGTTTCCCCCTCAAAGCCCTACGGATGCATAAGGGCAGACTGGTCATAGGGGAAGCATGCCATTTTACTCCAAAAGCAGCAGGTGATCCCAAGAGAGCATTTACTTGAGGCAGGTATATGCTGCTGTCTCTTTCTGCCCACACTGCTAATTCTAGGCAGCTGTGAGTGGGTGCTGGTTATCAGTAGCAGAGTGAACACACCATCTAGAGCCACTCTTTGTTACACTGCGCTCTGCATTCTACCACTGAGCTTCAGTACTGGAAAAAGGCCTTGCAGGTGTGCCTTGCTGACATTCTTGCTCAGATGAAATCTTATTACTGCCCCCCTCCCCATCCATCACAATGAAGCCACCACACAGCCTCTTTACCTTTGAATGGCCCTCCTTTGATTGTGAGAGCCACCTTGCCCTCCTGGGTCAGATAGCCAAACCATTCACCTTCCTGTGGGTCACTGAACTAAGAGAAGAACAAGCAAAGATGGTGAAACAATATGCGTATCAGATTATAAGATGATCTACAGTGTGAGGTGTGAGCTATGGAGGGGTTTTAGGTTCCTGGTGCTACTCCCATAGGTTAGGAAGATGATGGGCACCATATTGACCAGTGGAAGCTGCCTTATGCTGCACCCAAGGAGCACCCAGCTCTGCAAGGTCTCAGGCACCGCTTCTTTCCCAGCCCCCAGAGCCTGTGACCAGGAAATGCACTTTCTTCAAACCTCATCTCACCACCTCTGCTCTAACTTAATGGCACCCCCTGCCCTCCATGGCCAGCCTTCAAGCTTACCTTGGCAAAGGCATATTTAGCAACTTGGACAAAGCGTTCCAGGAGCTCTTGGTCTCGAGTCTCAGCAAAGCCCATCAGAAATGCAATCATGGCTTCTGTGTGTGGCCACCAAAGCTTCATTTTCCACTCTAACTGAAGAAGAGAGAGGGGGAAAGTTTTTTTTGGGGGGGAGGAAACAACCCAAGAGATCCCAGGAGGGGGGCAGTTGTCAAATGCATGGTGAATGTAGGCTTTAGGGTCCAAGCTTCTGTACCTGCGTTGGGCAGAGGCCATCCACATCCTGGAAGGCAAAGAGTCCACCATGTTCAGGGTCCCAGCCCAGACGGAATGGCTCCTTCATGAACTTCTCCACAGCCTGAGCCACGAGGTCCGAGTCCTGCTGGCGCTGCGCGTAGCGGAGCAGGAACCAGCCTGCTTCAATCGCATGGCCTTAGAAACAAAAAATGGAGAAGAAACACCCCAGTGCTAGCTCAGAGTTCTGGGGCAGGCAACCTACTGCCCTCAGCCTAATTCCATGCAGGGGGCAGAGGGAGGGAAGGAGGGAGGGGTGATCCATCCACTCAGCACTGGCATGCAGCTCCCGGCAGAGAATGCTGAGGAAATGCAGCCCTTGACAGGAAAAAATGGCTCCCACCCCATCCCAAGGCAGACTGATTATTTTATTTCTATATCACTTGATATATTAAAAATATCTCTAATAAGTGTACAGAAAATTGACATAACAACAGACAACTTACACAAAATATTACAAAAACACACATGCAGAAATGTTACAGTAATACAAAGTTACTAATATATAAAAATCAGTATCAATTCATTTTCCTTTTGATACACCCTTCCTCTCCGTCTCCAGTAAGCCTGGGTGATGCATCAATACATCGCCCAGGACTGGTATGAGGGGCAGACAGCAATGGCAGCTTCACTCAGTGGCATATTGCAAGTGAAACCACCAATGCTCCTGAGTTCCTTAGCCACCAGGAGGAGAACAGGAGGGATGGTTGTTGTTGATTTTTTATTATAAAGAAGTACTAATCATTTTGGTTAAACACACATACACATAAATAAGGAGAGCTAGGGAACCTGTGGTCAGGCCTATGCAGGTTGTGGGGCAGCTGGGTCCACTTGCCTTGGGCCTTGGACGGGCTGGGCTGGCCGTGGGGTCCTGCCAGGGGCTTGCCAGACTTACACTGTCATGCTGAGAACAAGATCCTTGCCCCAGGCCTCAGGCAAGCTCTGCATGGGCCTGCCTGTGGCTCTCCAGATGTTAGTGGGCTCAAGTTCTCCTCAGCCCCAGCCAGCGTGGCCGATGGTCAGGGATGATGGGAGTCGTAGTCCAGGAGCATCAGAAGGAACACAGGTGGGGTAGGCCTGGGCAATGTATCAATTCATCGCCCAGGAGGGGGCAGACAGCAATGGCAGCTTCACTCAGTGGTATATTACAGGTGAAACAGCCTCCTCCTCAGTTCCTTAGCCACCAGTGCCCAGCGCGCCAAGGGAGAAACAAGCTGCAGCCGGGCACTGGAGGCAGAGGGACTCCGGGGCAGCGGCAGTTTCACCAGCGATATCCTGCTGAGTGAAGCTGCCATCCCACTTTGCCCTCAAACTGGCGCAGAGGGAGAAGCATGCTGCATCGGAGAGGGGCCAATACAGCTTGTTCCTCCCTTCACTTCTTTAAACTGCTTGGTTGAGAAGCATACATCTGCCATTGCTCAGCCAGGCAGTTTTATGGAGCCCCCTACACGCCACTGGCTTGCACCAGCTGGTGGCAGGATGGGGACTCTGTGAAACTGTTCCCGCTTCCCAGCTGAGGAGCCTGTCTCTGTCTTGCATAAATTGGGGATGGGAGAAAGAAAACTGTCACAAGGGGCAAGGGGGCTGTGGAGGCAGGGATGCTAGTAAGGAGCTGTGCCAGGGTCTAGGTGCCAATCTTTGCAGTATGAGAGGGTAGCTATCTGGGCTGCACCACTTCAGACTGCAGAGGACGGTGTGGTACTTTTGAAGGCTCCATGTAAAGACTCTCTGCACGTAGCAAGTGAGCTAACAGTAGCCCTGACGTGCCAACCCCCACCAACCTGGCAACCTCCAAATACTTTGGAATATCCAACACCCCCCAGCCCCAGCCAGCACAACCATACTGGTTGGGGCTGATGGAAATTGTAGTCCAAAACATTCTGGTGCAGAGGCACCAACTTCTCCAGAGGATTGAGGGGACCTGATGCAACTTTGTGCAACATTGCAAGAAACCAGGGGGCAGAGCCAAACATCCTCTGAAAATTGAGGGGGCTGACATTGGGGGGATGTCAAAATTGTCTCGGCCCCTAGGAGTCGCCACCTATCTTATGGTGGGGGCAGGACATACCAGGCTGGCAAAATCTGAACTAGTTGGGCGTAGCCAGGATATTTGTTAGCGAGGGCAGAAACTCAGTAGCTATGTATTTTTATTGATTTTTATTGATTTTGGGGGCAGCTGCCCCTCCCTGTCCCCTCTTGGCTAAGCCCATGACTAGTTACATTAAAAATATGGTCCCTGCAATCTACAGTGGTGCAGTGCAGAGTTCCACCGCCTGATCCTGTGCAATCCAGGGCTGGAGAATGTGTGGACCTTGAGGTGTTGCTAGGAGTACAGTTCCCATCATTCCTGACTGTTGGCCCTGCTGCTGGGGCTGCTGGGAGTTGATATCCAACATCTGGAGAGTTCAAGAGTTACAAATCTCCCAGCAATGGAGTGCAATGCATACACCACCCAACTCTTCATTCAGGACCCTAACCTGTGGGTCTGACAGAGATATTTTCAAACTTTGCTCTACTGCTAAACAGGCTAGAAATTTGTTTGCTAAAAATCTAGATTCCTGGTGTTCTGGCTAACATGAAATTCCTCAGCAAAATATACGCTGCTGCACTTGACTCCCAAAGCATCCTGGCTCTTGGTCTCTTCTTACCAGGATTCTGTTGTCTTCCCAAACACCCTGGCAACGCCTCGCCCTCTTCAGAAACGTTCTCCAACACAGCAGCACCATCCCTCTGTAGCGAAATAAGAATTCTATTCTAAAACGTATCAAACGTAGACAAAAGCAAGACTAAGGGGCGGGGTGGCGACCATTCCCACCCCTTTACCTGCACGTGCATGAGGATTCGCTGAGCAGACCAGCCTCCCAGCTCACTGAACCGGCTTGCAGCCTCTGCATCTCCTTCTGACAGCTGGTCCACCAGGTTGAGTAGCATCATGGGAACAGCCATGGAGTCATGTGGGATTGCCCCCGCCAGCAGTGGGCGTCCCAGCTCAGAGGGATCCTCCCTCACCCAGTGCACAATGGCCTCCATCATTGCCAGGGCTTCCCTCTGCCAACAGGAACATCATTACAACCTACGAAAATACCCATTAGCCAAGTGGAAACCTAAGGCTAGGGCTGGTCCCACTGGAGTCCGGTTTCCCACTTCTCCAAGGGACTCAGCAGGCCTTGGCCAAACTCATTTGCTCACTGCTCAGGCTTCATCAGGGCTGATCGGCAGGGAGGGTGAGAGAGAGCAAGTGAAGAAGCCAGATAGCTGCCCAACAACCAACCACTCAGCACTCCTCCAACCAACAGAGATATGTGTTATAGTAGAGTTCCACTACCCAAGAGAAAAGGGTGAGAAAGAGCTGTCGCTCTCATGTGTTGCTTGAAGGCATCTGGTTGGCTAGTGTGGGAAAGAGGATATGGACGAAGTAGGCCTTTGGTCTGATCCAGAAGGGCTCCTCTTCCGTTCTTAAGCGCTCTTCTACAGAGGCAGAGCAGAGCCATCATGATTAGTGGGCACTGATAGCCCTCGCCTCCTCCAAGAATTTGTCTAATCCTCTTTTAAAGCCATCTAAGTTGGTGGCCATCACTGCCTCCTGGGGGGGCAGAGGTTCACAGCGGGCCCCACAGCACCTCCCATGGACCAGTACTTTGGACAAGGGTCAACCCTACACAAGAGCAGACTCAACCAGCTGACCAGCCTCTTCCCCTATGTAGATGATGGCTATTCTTCTTCTAGTTCTATCAACGGAACTCCAGTATCCATAGAGACAGGAAGACGTCCCTCAACCGCAGCACCATGAGGTAAAATGAGCTGGTCTCTCCACTCTGGGCCCAACCCTACAGCTGCAGTTTTATCAGCCATGTGCTAGGAGCTGTACCATAGCTTTGGGGAAAGGGTATTTTTGCTGAGGTAATAATCAGAGGGAGAAGAGAGGGAGGATAAGCAGGTTTAGATGCTCCCTGTTCATATAAGGAGGCAGGCAGGCAATCAGGACATCTGTATCCAGCTCTCCTGACCTCACCTGGTAACGAGGTTCCCCAGTTGCTCGTCCAAGTTCATCCAGCCCAAGGACATAGAAGCACTCACTGAAAATGGTGCGCTGGATTTTCACAGGGCGCCCATCACGAGTCAGGACAAAGGCACACTTCTGCGAAGGTGGGGCCACTCGCGCATGCGCTAACAGGAACTCCCCACCTCAGGGAAAGAAGTAGATTGGAGGAAGGCAGCTCTGCCCCTCTCTGCTACTGGCAACCAAATACCCAGAGCCCTTGGGCCAAGACCCCCCCCCAACTTTTATACTTTCTCCAGCTGGTCACAACCAGGGATTGAGCTATGAATTGGGAAGCCCCAGTACAAATTGCCCCTCTCCCACAGATGCAGTAGGTGAAGAAGAAGAGTTTGGATTTGATCTCCCACCTTTCACTCCCTTTAAGAAGTCTCAAAGCGGCTAACATTCTCCTTTCCCTTCTTCCCCCACAACAAACACTCTGTGAGGTGAGTGGGGCTGAGAGACTTCAGAGAAGTGTGACTGGCCCAAGGTCACCCAGCAGCTGCATGTGGAGGAGTGGAGACGTGAACCCAGTTCCCCAGATTACGAGACTACCGCTCTTAACCACTACACCACACTGGCTCTCCTTAGGCAAAATCTCTCAGCCTCAGGCTCACTCTCGGGGGGCGGGGGGGGGGCGGAATGGTTTACCATACAAGGAGTACTCAGTTAACAGGAAAGGCTAACTGATTAGATTATGATGATGGTTAATTGTGGGGGGACAACCCCTATAATCCCACCACCATTCCAAAGCATCAGAACTTTCAAGCGTCTCTCAGCCCTCATCTCAACTCCCTGTCCCAGTCTACACACAGACCTCTGTCTGCCCACCCAATATTATCCTTTCTTTGCCTTCATTCCCAAATCCCATCCCTTCTGTACACAAGGTGGAAGAAGTTACCTGCTCGGGCTGCCTGCAGGAGCTCAGGGCGCCGGAATCTTGGTACTTTTCGATACAGCCGACTGTACATCCACACCTGTTTGGGAAGGGATGGAGAGGTAACCTGGGCCCTCTAGTCTCATGGCAGACATCTGCCTTGGCTAAGCCAGGGATGAGGACATTTGCTCACTCCAGCACTCATCAGCCCCAGCCAGCAAGGTCAGTGGTCAGGGACGATGGGAATTGGACTCCATCCATTCGTGGAGGACCACAGCTTTCCTTTCCTTGGCTTAAGCCCCAGCACTGATGTCTGCCATTCAGGGAATGGCCTGTGAGCGTGGCTCTCTGCAGGCCTGGCCTATTCTTAACCTCTAAGGAGACAGGTGCTGGACCTCAGACTTGCTTGGAAATTCCTCATGCAAAAACTTTCCTAATATGGGGGACTGAGGGGGGAGCTGCAGTGTTGAGGCATTCTGCACATGCTCAGAGAGACTTGTGCCATTTATTTATTAAGTTTGCTTTACCTGTTCATTCCAAGCTTTAAGGCCAGCACTGAAACCAAATTCTGAGGCCAATTCTGGGGCAAGCCAGGTTCCAGAGAAGCCTCATTTCCCACCCCAGCCCCAACCACACAAAGGGGATCCCAACAGAAAATCTAAAAAGGTTTCCAAAATCCACGGCCCCTGAGGACCCCTACCTGCCGGCCTTGCAGCCAAACATATTTCAAGTCATCATAAACTTTCCCATCCTGGCCCAGACATGTAAAGAACCCCCTAGAGAGAAAGAAGAGGCAGGGGTGAGAACCAGAAAGGGGGGGGGCACAATTTCCTAGAGGAAAGGATGAGAGCAGGCCGGGCAGAGAACTACTGACTAAAGAGGAACTTGTCGTAGGGCGTGGCTGAGTGGGGCTCCCCATTGCCCCTCAGCCAGCACAACAAATGGCCAGGGAAGATGGGAGCTGGAGTCCAAGGAGTTTTGGTGATTCCCCCACCCCTGGCCTGGGAGAAGTAAGACAGGAAGCTGCCTCTGGCAGTGTCTGGAGTTAGAGCTAAAGCAGGCGCAGCAAACGCGGAATGCCTTGAAGAGGGGCAGGCAGATCTGGTTCACAGAGCACCATTTGCCAGGACATTCTGCTCCGCAAGCCCCACGGAAATGGAAGGAGAGCATATCTGGGGACAGCAGCACCTTGCCCACAGCTCACATTTGTTTCCATGAAGCTTGCAGAGGAGAATTTCCCAGTGGAATGTCATCCATGCTGGTCCAAGGAGCAACAGGGAGCCCTAAGCTCCAGGTAGTTCCCTTCAAGTCATGCATGACGTCACGTGTGAGTCAGGTGGGCACAGCCTCCCGAAAATAGTGGGCTAAATGAAAAGGGTTGCCAAGCCAGAGGTCCCCCCCCCCTGCATTAGAGGGTAGATTTGTCTGCCTCCGGCCATGGGAGGGGAGGGGAGGGGGAAAGTATCTCCTTGCATCTCAGTGGTATGTTCTACCCCCCCCCCTTTCTGGGAAGGGCTCCCCTGTTTCACATACCCTCTTCCCCCTCCCCATTTGGGCCGATTTCCTTAATGGCGTGTATAGCATCCCTATAAACATAACCTCCCCCCCATGTCGTGAGAGGGAGTCAGTGTGGTAGGTACAGGACTGGACTGCGGGAGAGCCGTGTTCAAATGCCCCCTCAGCCACAACCCAGGCTGGCTGGCCCTGGGGCGACGGGGGGGGGCCTAGATGAATAGACAGGCAGCGATCCATCACCCGTATTCTTCGTCGTGCGAATGCTGAAGCCAGAAATCCACCACGGCGTCCAGCTCTCGGGAGATGCGTCCATGCCAGCTCAAGAGCGACGCCAAATCCATCCTCGCTGCTTTCTCCAGCGGCGACCCCTGTAGGGGCGCGAAGGTGCTTCTGGATCAGCAGAGTCAGCCCGGCCCAGGATCTGACCCCGAGAGGGGAGGGAGAGTCCCGAGACGCGCTGCCAATGTCCGCGGGAAACTAGCATAAAACCACGTACAACGCCCCCCCCCCCCAAAAACTTAAACATTTACAGAAGTAGGGAACTGCTGGTCATATGATTTGCCCGAGTCACCTGACACTAGCCCCACCCTTTCTCCCACGTGGGGGGGCCAAGACCCTGATTTGTTCCTTTTCCTCCGTTTCCATTTGTTAACCCTACAACTGCCGTGATCCGGCCCAGAGATCGGCAGCTGGAATCCCAGAGCAGTGATCGTGGCAACAGAAGGGCAGCAATGAGGCACAAAGCAGTTAAAGGCTCCCGTAAGGCTTCCTAACTCGGGTGGCTCCCCGCTGCCTCCTGCCCCGCTGCTGAGCTGAAGGGCCGAGGGGCGACTGGGAGCCGGGACGACCCCAAACGCGGCTGCGTGATGGCACCGCTTTTGGGATGCCCCGCTCCTACGTCAGGGGAGGAATCCCCCTCGGCAGCAAAAGCCCAGCCGCTGCCGCCCCGTCCCAGGCGAGCTCTGGAGGGAGGGGGCGGTGCGCGTGCTTTCCCTCGAGGACCACGTGGTTCGCGTCAAATATGGACCATCGCAAGGTGCCGAGGCATCCAAATAATCTTGCTGCCAATCTGGGGGAGGCGGAGAGGGACCTCTTGCTCTCTCCTACTTCCTTCAGAGCCACGTATCACAGCTGGGGGGCGACTCCATGCGAAGGAGGCCTCGCGTGTCTTTAACAATTGGGCGAAAGCAGGAATTTAGTTGTTGTTAACAGCATTTATATAACACTTGATTGCAGTCAAACCTCTAAGCAGTTTTAAAAACATTAAAAGTATCAATAAAAACAAAGAAGGATAAGCAGGTGACTAAAATTAACAGCAACAAAATATCAAAACATGTAACTTCTACATGTCTAGGTAGGCTTTCCCAAAGCAAAAATGTTTTTAGCAGGTACTGAAAAAAGTACAGTAAAGGCAGTTGCCTGTTATCAACAGGCAACAGGCAGGGAGTTCCAAAGTGTAGTTGCTGCCGCACTAAAATACTGATTTTTCTTTCAACTGTGGAATGAGTATTATGTAGCACCTGCCACAGTGCCAGTTCTACAAATCAAAGTGGTCTGCTGGACATGTGTCAGGTAAGGCAATTGTGCAAATAAAAAGAATGCAGATTGAGCTTTTCTCAGCCCCACAGCAGGACAAACTGCCCCACCAGCCCCCCTCTTTTATGCAACTTTTAAAGATGCAAGAGACTTGTCTTCCCAAGAGGAGGCTGGGTAAAAAGAGGATTGGGTTCCTGCCAGGGGCACCATCTGGGGGGGCTGAAGCCCTCCCCGCCCCCAATTTTCAGAGGGGCCAGACTCCCTCAATATTCTGTGGCCTGCAAAGGGCCTCACCCAGCCTGTCTGTAGCTGCACTGGGCCTTGTGGCCTCCTCCTGTCCTGTGACATCACATGTGCATGTTGTGCACATGATGTCATGTGTTTGCTCTGCCCCCCACCAAGTTGGAGGCAGCTCCAGCTTCTTTTATCAGCGGTACAGAAAAGGGAAATGCAGCAGATGTAGCTTACACAACAAGCTACTCTGGCTGAAATTACCTACACAACAGTTAAAGGTGAAGGAATAGCCGCCGTCCTCCTCTTCTTTCTCTTCACCCTACTTCCTTTGCATTTGGACATCCAAAGAAAGGCAGGTGGTCTACCGAGAGATCCCCTCCCTATCTATATTCCCATGCAGGCTTGTACACGTGCTATGGTGCAAGGGAGGTCACTCACTATCCTCTGCCCCATTCACTGGATGAATGTGCACACGTGGCAAAATAGATCCATGCGCATTTGTCACACATGATGGTGCACACAAGACACACTTGTGCGCCTTAAACAGCACCAAATAACCATCACACACTAACTGATATGGTGCAAAATTATCTGGGAAGTTCTTGTGTATAGGACATGTTGAAAGTGGTGAGAGCATCCTTGACTGTTCCTCTGTGGTCTCCCCTACTATCAAAATGTAGTTTGCAAATTCTGTGAGGCAGGGCCTGTCTGGCCCCTGGGTTTCCCCATATGTAATGCTTTATAAAGCTCCATGGCCTTTCCACACTTAACTTTAATTATGTAACAATGCACATATTGTTCTTCTAAGATTCAACCTTTCCCCGCATTCCAAATGTACAGAAGCACATTTAGCTACCTAGTAGTGAGGAGCATACACAGCATTGGCTGAAGGTTGTGGGGTGTGGGGTGGGACAACCATGGATTGTTCCAGAACTGAGCCAAGCTGGGTTTCCAGGGTCAGTGCTTCTCAAGGCATTCCTCACACATCAAAAACAGGTGTTAATACGGCATTCCAGACCATGTTACAGTATATGTCTGAATTCACATGCATGTCCAGCACACACATGTATTCATACACACACACCCAGAGATTTGGAATCTTTTGCTGGAGTTATAATGTGTACCCATTTATGAATATGTGTTTGCCTCTATCCCTGCTTAAATAAAACTCCTGACACCTAATATTTAATTTTGTCCTGAGCTGGTGATCCTAAAGACCTCTTAAATGCCAGATGGGCAACCCAAATTTTTTTAGAGGCAAACAAATAGCTGTACATTAAGAGTCTTGAGACACACATTAACAAAGAAAGCTTGGTTTATTATATCAAATGAAAATGACAGAATATACGAGTGCAGTTTCAGAATCAGACAGGAAGGGAAAGGGCTGCCCAACAAGAGAGTTAGCAGGCACTCGCCAAGGGCTTAAGAAGACTTAGTTTGTGCCAGCAGCAGAGGCTGATTGTGGCACTTGCGGAATGATTTGTTAAAACACGTATGTGCTTGTATCTGAGCATGTGCAGGGTGCCTTTTATTTCTCCCCCCACTTGGATGAGCACAGGTTGCTCGGACTTCTCCCCCCCCTCCTGTGCAGCTGCCACCTGCTCACTTAGCCTTCCCTTCTGGACCCCGGGCCAGGCTGCCACTCCCTCGGATTGCTCAGAGAGAGTAGGTGAAGGGGTGGCAAAGAGGGGCAGCAAAGCAGGGGGTTGCAGTGGGGTGGGAGGGCCCTGCAGAGAGGGCTGTGGGCCGCAGCAGATGCCCCACGATGCGGACCCTGGATGCCCGTCCCACCCCCATGGCTCCGAGACTAGGTTAAGGGTCAAGGGCAACGTTTCCTGGAAGCGCCCAGCACCAATCTCCGCAGAACTGTTGTGAGGATAATAGCACCTGTGAACAGGTGTGTGAAACTGATCTGATTTCTATGGTTCATCTCTGTAGATCTTAATAAGCATTAAGATTGACTTAACTGTGACAAGAGATTCTCCATCACGATCCTTGCTTCGCCTTGGCACAAGCCGGATCCCACCAGCCTCCCCTGAAAACGTGTCCGGAAGGCGCAGCCCCTCGCCCTTCCTCCTCCCTGGCGCCGAGCAGCCGACGGGGAGGGCGAGAGCTGGCAGCTGCGAGGAGCTCCAAGCAGCGCCCTCCCTTCTTCGGAGCGAGTTTGAGGGAGGCTGTGCCGCGCCGAGGTGGCTCGGGGGGGGGCGCACGGCCGGGGAGGGGCTTCGGGGCCGAGGTCCGGGCGCCCGCCCCGCGGACTGAGCAGGGGACCCCCACAAAGGTCGCGGGAATCCACGCCTGGCCGCGGGGGGGGGGGTCTCGACGGAGGCTCCCGTTCCCGAGCTGCCCCCGTAGGGCTGCCCTCACCCGCCCGTCTCTCCGCAGGTTCTGGCGCAGACGCCCCATGTTCAGACGTTCCCACCTCAAGATCCTGCTGATCGGCAATTCCGGGTAAGCACAAGGGGCGCCTGGATGGGGAAGGCAGGCCCGCCGGGAGAGCCGGGCTCCGGCGGCTAAGCGGGTGTCGGGGCTCCAGGCGGGCGGGAAGAGGAAGGCTTCCCGGGATCCTGTCCCCGTTTGGCAGCCAAGGGGTTAAGGCGGCAGGTGGAAGGGCGCAGGGGCGGCGCCGCGCAGGGGCAGGTGCAGCCCGTCCGGTGCAGCCCGGGGAGAAACTTCCGCGAGGCTCTGCTGCCTCCACCACCACCCGCCCGGTATTCTCTGTAGCCCAGGCTGGGAAGCGTGCGGCCCCCACGGCCTGGAGCGAGGCGCCCCCTTGGAGAAGTCTTCTTGATTCGCTCCCCGAGCGCCTCAGTCTCTGAGATCCCGGCGCGCTGCACGCCGCTCTCCTGTCCCAGCTCCTTCAAAGTCCTTAAAGTACCTGCAGCAAGTGGGACCACGTGGCAGCTGCCCGGGCTCCGTGTGTAGCACAGGCAGCTGAGAACAGGACAATTTTATGGGGTGCAGCTGAACTAGACCAGCTGTTTGTTCCCAGAATTAAAGCAGATGGAAGAGGCAACACCAAATAACTAGAGGCCAAGTCAAGTGACTGTTATCCTATGGACGCAGTGGTATTACCATTGCCTGAACCCGGAGAGCATCGATGCAATAAAAAGGTGCTTTTTAAGAAAAGAAAAGCCTGCAACCTGTATGTTTTATGCACAACTGTGTTTTGTTCTCTTCACATTATTTTGCCATTTTAAATATGTTGCATAATTTAGACTGCAGGAGTACAACCCTCTTGAACTCAGTGGGATTTACCTCTGAGTAGACTGGTGCAGGGTCAGGCTGCAAGTCTGCATTTGCTAGTCACGGGGAGCTAAACGGAACGTGAGAACTTACTGCATTTTTATTCAGCTGCCCCTCTAGTCCAGCATGCTTGAAAAATTAGCATAACTTCACAAGTGTTAACAAAAACACCTGTACATCAAAATACTCAGAAAAATGTCCTTGCTTAACCTTCCCCCATCAACCTGACTCTGAAGAGCCTGGTAGCAGCTGTCGTTGCAACTAATTTATTAAGTAACCACAGCTTTATGGCAGTGTAGTAATAATCCTTATTGTATAATTATAATTAACACTCGCCTTCAACTTTTTATAACCATTATTTAAACATTTGTTTAAATAGTGTACCAGTTTTTATGTATTGAGTAAAATAATTTGGTTATTTCCATTATCTGTATCTAAACTCAAAAGGGGCCTTAGTATGTGTTTAAGATATTATGAATGCACACAACTGTCCAATGCAATGAGGATTTAAGATTTCTCATTTACCTTTTATGCCAAAAAGTAAGATAGTTAGGATTAACCTTTATCTACCAAATGTGAAGAAAAACATACAAGAAGAGTAGGGCTCAAACACTGCCAGACACAGTGCAGGCAAAGCACTGAATATAATTTTGAAACCATGTCAGTTGTTTGACTGATTTTTGTCTTAATCATTTCAAACACAAAGCTTTGTACAAAAGTGACAAAGTAAAAAAAGGGCACCATCAGAAAAGGCTTCTGGAGACTTTGTACATGCAATGCCAAAGCATTTTGATGCAAGATATGCTTTTGCCATTGTTTGATTTTAAGCATATTTTACCAAGATGACTTATTTTGCCTTTGGAGTTGCATCAGGCATTCCTTATGCCTTTTTCAAACCTTTGTACTCAATAGGCCAATTGAGCCTCACGCAGTGCGTTTCCTACAGTAGCCAACTAGATATTCCTCAGAAGGCCACAAGCAAATCATCAGATCTTCCCATCCTGCTGCTGTGCCCCAGTGACTGCTACTCAAAAGGCCTTTGCCATCTTACCATGGGATTCCCCACTGCTGCCACTAAAAAGGCTTTATCACAAGGCTGTGTGCATGTGTCCAAGAGGCAGTTCAGGAGCAGAGAACCAGCTCCACCTCTGCAGCCCTGTGCTGGTTGATGAGGCGGCGGGGTGGGGGGGAGGTTACTGACTAGACCTCCGCATTTTAAAATGTCAACCTTTAAAATGTCAACCGTCCTCCGTTCCCCGCAGGGCGGGCAAATCTGCCCTGATGAACCAGTATGTTAACAACCGCTTCAGCAGTCGCTACAGAGCCACCATTGGAGCAGATTTCCTCAGCAAGGAAGTAAACATTGATGGACGCAAACTGACCGTGCAGGTAGGCTCAGCAGAGGCTCACTGTTGGGCAAAGATCGCCCCCTAAGCTCATCCCATGTTACTCATTAAAAAAACCCTGTGCTCCAGCCTAGGGCAATTTTAGCAACATACTTCATTTCCAGCTCCCATAATCCCTAAGCCATTGGCCATGCTGGCTGAGACTGGAGGGAGCCTTAACACCACCTGGAGGCCACAAGTTCCCCACTTCAGGTCTAAAATTATCCTATATGTGCCTTATGTAGCCAGAATGGCACCCTTTGTGCACAAGATGGAGAGAGCAGTAGCAGGGATCCAATTTCTGTACAAGCACCTATTTCAGGAAAATATTTAAAGGTGTGTGTGTAAGGTAGAGAATCTAAAATGGGCAAGTGAATTGACGGTTGTGCTCAGTGACAATTGTGGTGGCAAATAAAATACAGGAAAATGGAACAGAATATTCTAGAAAAGGGGTCCTCTGGCCCCCTCAATATGAGCACCCCAAATCTGCTATGTTTCATTACAAGTGCCTTGTTTTAGCTTTATTGTGGCAGCCTTAAGAGAGTCAATAAGATACAGGCATTTGTGGACTAAAGCCTATCACCATGAGGCCCGGGTGGGGTGCCATGAGCATATTACAATGTGGACTCTAGCTATTTGCTAAAAATCAGTTCTTAGTTACAGCAAACACCCTTTCCCTTCTAGAATTAATGTTAATGACAATGCTGAATTCTTATTTCCATTTTTTGCTCCCCAATTTGTACAGAAGCAATATGCACAACTAAAAGAAATGAAATTTCAATATTGCTGCAGTCCCAAATATGCAGTGGCCCAACTCTTATGAATGAACACGATTCTCCCTTGGGCTGCAAGGTCAACGTAACGCACCTACACTTGGCCCTTCCTGTAAGGAGCTCACCATATGGCTTCCAAAGTGATCTTCTATCTATGCAAAAGCTTACAAAGCTAGACCAGGTTAGCCTCAAGCTGAGCAGAATTTACACCACATGTGTTCAGATCATTCTTTGGGATCATGTTATCATTTGTTCCATGCAAAGTTTTATCAATTCATAGACAATTATGATGGCCAATGCCATACCAACAGGGCAAAATTAAACACCATCCATCTAAAAAAGCAAAAGGAAAAAAAAAAATCAAGAGCATGGCAGAAAAGGCACCTTTACAGCGAACTCTCCTGATCGAAGTGCATGAACCAAGATAGGCCCCCCCCCACCCCAAAGATCCTTTACAATGCTAGCAGCCAATTTGGCTTGAGGAAAGGCTTCCAACCCATATAGCAAACTAGTCGTGTCCGTGTACGTCTGCACCACGCAGACCCAAATTCTGTGACAAAGCTGAATTCAGCAGCTTGTGTGGTTTCTCATTTTGCACAATTGTCAGTTTCCACTAATCATAGGAAGCAACATTCAACATGACAGGGCTGCAGTCCCCATCTAATTCAGTACTTTTTCTGGCTGCTGGTTTAATCCAAGATTGCCAACTTTTATGGCAAAACAGCACATCACAGCACTCGTTTTCTGGGTGCCAGTCACAATGGACAGCTGGCACCTGAAATGTAGAAGTATCATTCTACATTTGTTCTGCACTCCCAGCAACGTAGCTCGGGAGATGGGGTTCAAGAAAGCTGCTCCATCTCTTTATAGCCATTTGGTATTATATACATTCTGATGTGTAGATTAGTTCGTTGTTGGCAGAATTGTGGCAGCCACTCAACCCTGGTCAAACATGGTGGAAGAATCCAGAACATCAATTGAATAAAGAAACGGGAGACTCTAGTCCACACCGTCATTTGGCATGGTATCCAGTGATGCCCCCAGACAACAAAACCTATGCTTGCTAACCTTTGTGAGAACCAAGATTAATGGAGGTAAGTCACCAAGGACCCAGGGATGTCTTGAAATCAAGGTCTCAGCTTTTATCCCTTCTTGCACCTAGATTTGGGACACAGCTGGTACAGAAAGGTTCCAAGCCCTGGGGACTGCCCTCTACCGGGGGTCAGACTGCTGCCTTCTCGTCTTCGATGTCACATCCGTCAGCTCTTTCCACGCCCTGGAGAAGTGGCACAAGCAGCTCCTGTTGCAGATTGAGCCAGAGGAAGAGCCCACTTTCCCCACTGCTGTCATTGGGAACAAGATGGACCTGGAGAACCGTGAGGTGGGGCAGAGGTGGATTTAGGGGAGTGCCACTGGTTCACCCACACTGGCTGCCAAGCTAAGGGGGCCCTGCAACAATAGCAAACAGCGGAAGGCGAGATTTTGGCATTGCACAGTGCACTGCTGAAATTTTAAAGCCCAAAGTCTGCCACTGGGTAGGGCTACATATGAAGCCAGGTGCAGGGCACAAGTCCACATCCTGTATGGTTCTCAGACATATTGGGTTGGAGTAGTTAGGGGTCAGAACTCTTTAGGGGTTCTGTTAGGGGGCTGTAAGAACTCTTTGCAATGACTCAAGGAGACGGGGAGTGGACAGAAAGTTCAGGGAATATTGTATCCTAATGAACAGCTTCACCAGAGGACTTTGGCATAATTGTTGAGCAGAGATGTAGAATTTGGTATCTGGGGAAGAACTATATTATCTTAAAGATTTGCTCTCATTGTGTACACTAAAAAGACCACAAGCTTTTTGATTAAGAGCTGCAGATGGAATGGGGAAGAGAGCAGAGTATGCCCAAGCCCTGTTTTTGTCCAGGTGTCTTCTGAGGAAGCAGAAATGTGGAGCAAGCTTCATGAAGCCAAATACTTTGAAACCAGCGCCAAGGAAGCCACCAACGTGCAGGAGGTGTTTGAGTGGGCCATACGGGCCGTACTAAAGAATGTAAGAAACCTCATTTTCAGCCCTGCCCTTATAAGGCCCCGGACAGACCACATACCTTTGAGATTCCTTTTATCCCTAAAAAAAAACAAAACACCTCTCCCAGCTTTCAACTTTCTTGTAAGAAAGTCCTTCCCAACAGCCTGCATTTCATGCCCTTTGCCCATCTGCATCAACCACTTGCCCCCTCACCACTTTTCTTTTTGTTTCACCTCAGCGGAGGGTACCTGAAGAGCCACAACCGGACTCAGTTCACCTGGAGACCAGGCCACCAGAAGGGGCAGCCAGAGAGAAGTGTAGCTGCTGATCTGACCAAATACAGATGGGAAGATTCCTTCTGTCTGAGGGGGTGGGCTCTTCATGCTCTGCAACCCCGAAGGGTGAAAGTGCAACCCCACAGAACAGCCCCAAGGACATTTGGCAAGGCTGCAGCACACAGCTTCTGGAGCTGGATCCCAAGGTAGACCTTTGTTCTCTGGATGACAGCCTAGCACACTTGGGAGAGCTGGATCATATCCCAGGCTACTCTTCCCAAGCACATGGAAATAAAGCTGAATACCAATATTGTGCTTTTCAATGGTGAAAACACTTGTGTAAGAGGGCTCTTCTCCCAAAAGGTAGCCAGAAACACCCTAGTACTAGAAGAGGATGAGGGAAAGATCTAGTTTCACAGACAGAACCTGGTTTCCAAAAAAAGGAGGTCTTTAATTGTTCAAAATAGCACAAAAACGACAGATACGCAGCACTAGGGTGAGGGGGAGCGGAGGGGTGGAAAGCCATGGGGAACTCCTAGGAGGACTGTTCCTGTCTCAAAGGAAAATAAATGGGGTAGGAGAGTAGGGTAGGAAGAATCTTAGGGTCTGAACAGGAAGGGGACACAGCGAAATACATTATAATACAAAAGACCAGGGCACAGAGCAAGTTGGTGGGGAAGGGAGTCTGCTCCTGGGTTTGTTTGCTATTTTTTGGAGGGGGCCTGCTTTACCTGCCAAATCTCTTTGACAATGGAGAGGTAGGACATAGCAGTCAGTGCAGCTGTTTGCTTTTCATTTTATAGCCTATTCCCCACCATCTCTGAAGAATAAGCCCTGACTGCTCTTCTCCCTTCCCCTCTGTGGAATGTCCAGAGAGGCAGCGAGTGGAGGGGGTGTACATATTCCTCTGGAGTGGGAGGGAACCTAGATCCCTGCCCCAGCCAGAGGGAAAGCTGTACTTCAACAGGCAAAAGTATTGTCCCGCAGTCTTGTTCCTAGCTTATCACCCTGACCTTGTGGGGTCAGACTCCATCCCTCCAAAATGTCTCCCCCTCCCCCCTAAAAAAGGGTTTTATATAAAACGATGGGGAGGAATGGCAAGGCATTTTTGCCTAGACATGCCGCCTTGTGGTCTGGAGAGGGAAGAGCAGAGGGAAAAATCAGCTTGTGCTGTTAGAGGAATTGCTGCATGTGTAGAGAAGAGGGGGTGGGTTGAAGCCACAAGCGCCCTGGGCTGAGCATCTGAACAGCTGTTGTAGAATGAGCTGCATCCCCCCACCCACCCCCAAAAGTAGCTGCATTGGTGGTCCAACCACCTCCCGCCCCTCCCTCCCTCCCTCCCTCCCCAAACAGCAGAGACTCCTCTCTCTCCATTACCAACGCAGACACTAAAAACTAAACTGAGGGAGAGGGTCTGTACAGAGGCAAGAAATGGAGGCAGGGAGAATAACCCTCCCACCCCCAAGACACAGGATGCTGGGGTGTACAAAAAGAACTTCATTCCTGTAACTGCAACTTGTAAAAAACCCAACAGCCCCCCTCCCCCATAACAATTCCCCCCTCCAAACCCACCCCTAACATCAGCGTCCATGTTAAACGGGGCAGCAGCAGGGGGCAGGGGAGGAACTCCAGTCCTTCTTCCCCCTCCCTAGGCTGGGGCATGGCATGGCATGGCATGGCATGGCACAGCGATGGCCCCTGCGTGGGGCTCCCTCACTTGAGCCTCTGCGTCCTCCGCCCCAAGAGTCCAGCCCCGTGGTGTATGAAATGTGCTTTCAGCGGTTCCATCTTCCTCCACACAAAGGGGCGGCTGACTGGCTGGGGGTTCAGGTGGAGGCTGTGGAGCAGGCAGGAAGAGGGGACAGCAGGGGATGCCCTTCACTGCCCATCTGCTTTGGGCTTCTTTGGAGCGGTTTTCCTGAAAGAGGAAATGAAATGTGTTGGGCTCATGAGCCAAATACTAGGCTAGGCCTGATGCACAGATTCAGAGATCAATTCCTAAATCCACATCTGCATAGGTACGTGTGCTCGCTCTCACTCAAAAGTGAATCTCTCTCACCTTGGATTGCCTATGCAGAACCGTTCCAGGAAGAAGCATTTCCACTTGGCAAGGATCCCATCTTGTGGTGCCCTCCCACCTAAAAATATCCTTCATGATAGGCTCTGTCCATTTGTTGCTGTTGGTGTCCATCTGTCTCGAAAGACAATGGAGTGTGCCTCCAGGGGTGAAGCCACACCGCTGCACTAGCAGCACTAAAGTGACCTCCTCAGGGTGCAAGCCTGGTCATTAAGTACGGAGGTCCTGGGCTGCCCAGAGGACAAGACTACCCTCTTGGCCTCACTGATATGGTTCAAAGGAAAGCAGAGCACCAGCTTGGCTGCAGGAATTGCCGGAAGGAAGTGTACAAGCACCATCCAACCGTCTTAGGGACTCTACTCCAGATTTGTACAGGGTTTGCTCCTTAGCCTTTTCTTCTCCCAAACATATTCCACAAAGTTTTCCTTCTCCTATATGGGCTCCCTTCCAAGGTGGACAAGCCCCATCTACCCCTCACGTCCCTCTACAGCACGTGCAGAAACCGCCTTCTTGACTGTTGGACCCACTATTGCTCATCTGCTCAATCCACCGGAGCCTGTCTTCGCAAGCAGGGAAAGTCCCTGACTCACTGAGGATTTGAGACCCATCGACTACCCTCACCTGATTTAGTTGGCCAGTCGAAGCAGTTCCTGGCGTGTGGTCACTGTCTCATGCTGACAGCTTCTAGAAGCCACAGGTGAGAGCTGATTGCAGAGTGAGGACCAAAGGTGAACAAACTACCCCGGAAGGAGCATGATTTGGCCCCTATCAGAGGTACGACCCTTCCCCTAGCACCCCATACACTCAGGCTCTGCCCATTCACAGCACACAGGAAAGGAACTTGGACCAACTGGGTTAAGAAATAGGAACTTGATTGGACCCACAGACTCCAGATGTCCCTTTCTGTACGCATTCCTTCCCCTCTCCCACTTTGACCTGAAACACAAACACTGCATGGCTTTCCACTAGGAAATACTCACAGGTCGGGAGAGGACAGCGGCCGCTTGTTGGCTGGTTTTATCATGGAGCCATCCTTACTGGATTCTGTGAAGAAAAGAATGTGCTGCATATACTGGAGGTGCAAGTCCCTATCCAGAGAGCCAGAGCACACAGCAAACCTGGGTACCAGATTCCAGCTCAGGTACTTGCACACAGCAAACAGCCAGAGATTAATAGTCCAGAGGGAAGCCCTATTCTCCTGAGACAAGCTGGAGGTTAGCTATGCCATCAACAGACCTCCTCACAACTGACCATTATCCATAGCCATGTTGCAGCATACCAAAGAAGAAGGGACTTTATACAGTTATAAAGCGTGAGCTGTCTTGGCCAATACTATGAACACCACCCAGTGTGACTTGCCAACAAATGTGCTTAACCATTCTCATAACATGTGATGAATTACGAGAGAAATGGGGGACAAAAATGTCTGCCCAAACCTCAATTCATGGGTTGGCAGAGTCTTGGGGGCAGGAGAATGTGGTCCAGTAAGGTTATATTGCAGGCTGGAGTTGGTCTGCAACCCTTTAGTTGGCCAACCCCGAGAATCACCTAACCTCAGAAAGGTCTAATTTAACATCCCAATAGGCAGAAATATGCAATGGTGAGTAATCCTTTCCATTACGGGTCCCAACTGATTCCCCCCCTCATCCTCTCAACTGATGAGTATTCTCGGCCTCAGTTCAACCAATGTAGTGGAACGTGTTCCACAACGCAACATTTTATATAGAGTCTAACTTTGTACATATCCCACCCAGGCCAGTCTTGTCTATTTTGCCAGGCAGTGGCTTCTCAGTGTCTCAGGCAGAGGCCTTTCAAGCCACCTGCTACCCAAAACCCTGTTTTTAACTGGTGATGCTAAGCACTGAATCTGGGACTCGACTGCTGAGCTTTCACATAGTTGGCAAAACAACAGGTCCTGCCTCAAGCAGTTTACAATCTAGATTTCCCAGTCTGAAGTGGCACTTCTTGAGCTGCCCTTAAGACTCCCAAGCTAGGAGCAAACTGCCCACTAGATGTTGGGTTATAGAGACTTCCGGGTTAGCGCCATCGGCGATGGCGGAGTTCCTCTGACCGAGAGGAACCCGCTCCGTGAAAATCTGGCCTTGCCGCCGCGGCGAAGGCGGAGACCCTTTAAAAATCCCAGGCGGAGGAAGCCTGGGAACGTGGGATTCGGCTGACACCAAGAGCGCCTCCCCTACTTGCAGGGAAACCCTTTTTCGGGGATCCGTAGCGACGTGGGGTGAGCGACACGGTGTTTTGAATCGACCGCTACTTTTACGGAGTGAAGCCGCACAGCCGTTGCCGGAGAGCGCTGACTTTTTCCTGTGGACAATTGGACTCTAAACAAGTATCCGTGAGTAGAACGGAAAATTGGATTGAGAAACATTTTAATTTGGCACTGAAGCAGGAAGGTTCTAAACAGGAAGTCCGCCTTCCGCTTTTGTAAATAGACTGAAGCAAAAATTTTGCAAGCTAAAGTCTGGAAAGTCGTATATAAAGGACTAAATTTCCTTCAGTTATAACCACCAAAACCCCCCTTGGAAGCAGGAGAAAAGGGGGGAACTTTAGATTGTTCAAGTCTGCAGGAGAGAGAGTAAAGAAAGATTAATTTCCACCGTCTCAAACCTGGGAACGGGGTGTCAGACAGAAATTTTTGGGGAAGTTCATTGACTGTGAATGGAACGTCTTTTGACAGATAGTTAAAAAAGAGAAACAAATTGATTCCAATGTTGCCTTTTGCATTCAAAAGAAACAAAATATTTGAAAAATGAAAGCAATTTTCTTTTGTTGGACCTGCTTTTCAAAGATGGATACAAATAGAAATTGTCTCCTCTAGAGGGAGCTTGTTAAACTGTTGCTGGAGTCGATCTGGGGATTTCACAGCTGTGGAGATTAAGGATCGTGAGACCAGACTCTGACCTTGGATAAAAATGTGTTTAGAAGAAGTTTTGGTGCTTGCTTTTTGCAAGACAAGTGCTTTGTTGGAGCAGCTGCATGAGAAGATGGATTTGATGACTGTTGCAGTCAAAAACTTTGGACAAACAGTGAATACTCATATAGAAACCATTCAGGAACCAACCCAGGAATCTGTTTTGACAGGGCAAGTGCAAGTGCAGAAGATAATGGAGGAGGTTGCGGTTGAACCTCAAGTAACACAAATGGAGAGACCCGAGGCCCTGCAGGAGCATAAGCTGCTGTTTTTGAAGACTGAATCTGGAGAAAGTCAGATATAG